TAAAAAAATACTAATTAATTACAAGTACAAAGTACAAGCCCATATTTTTATAACTCATGTAAGTAACTTTCAAATAGCGACCCATTCTTGGAAGTGGGGCGCCTCCCCCCCTTCCTCTGCGCGCCACTGGCTGTTTTGTATTTATTAGGTTGATGCAAAAATAATGGTCGTGTACTATAGGTTCTTAAAAAAAGTGACTTCCCTCAAAATCAATGAGGATACCAGGCTGAGTCAGTCATGCTTCGGAGGCTTTGTGGTAACGGTACACAACACCTAAATTGGAGGAAAGCGGTGAGGTTAGAGGCGCAAATCGCAGATTGTCGATTGTCGTTTTTCCCTCAAATTCCAAGTAAGAAAAAATTACAGCAAGTGCATAATTTAACGTTACCACGTGCCCAATTAGGAAACCAGAGGCCGTATTCATCATTGCTACCCGAGGTAAAATGAACCTTGAGGTAGATTATACCTTAAGGTACACTCTACCTTAAGGCTGTTTCGTATTCATCAAAGCACCTCAAGGTTAATTCTAACTCAGCTTGCATTATGTACAGTAACGCTCATTCAGGACATGCCATAACTCTCAGCGGTGTGTAAACTTCCTCACTGTTAATCTCTCTTTCCTACTTTCGTTCTGTGGGTATTTACATTTGAGGACCGTTCGCACGCAATGCTCGCTTTGCGTATGTTGCGCCGCTGGAGGAGCGGATGAGAAAGACAAAGAGAATTCCTAGGAAAGCACAGCCTGACATTCTCAAAAGACATATCAACTTCTTTCTCTGCAATTTATCCCAAAGCGGTCCTATGTGGCAATTTTCCAAATCGCAGATCGTAAATACTACAGTCTGCACTCTGGATCAAGCCGAAATTTACATGATGTCCGTCCGCACTGCCATTATCAAACATCAGGCCTGCGGTTTGCTGCAATGATCTGTCACGATTTGTCCGTTCTCTTCTCATTTTCTGCGATCTCCCCGGTGCGTGCGTGCAGCGCGCATGCAGCACCGACCGCAACTGTTGTGAACACGCGATTGAGCCAACGTCTGCCTGATTCATTGAGACGAACTATACCCAGAGTCAACTTCCACATGTCAAGACACCTATGCGATGGGTAGAGGACTATGTCGTCGAGAAGGGCGGTCCCCGCGGTCATTTGCAACAAATGTCTTTGCATATGCATGGAGTTGCGTTCCTGCAAAAAATCCGCCTTCTAGCTGAGGAATAGGCAGTCGCAGTAAACGAGTCTCAGGCCGACGAACTGAGGATGTCTGATCGCTTAATGTATTCTAGTGTTACTGTATCTAAGGGCGTGTGTAGGTAGCATTACGGCTGCCCCAAAATCCTTCATTTACTGAAAATCCGCTGCTCGTGCGCTCTCAGGATCTGAGATTTGAAGAATGTATGAGTTTATGACACGTACTTTTCTAGCTGCTTCGGCTGCAATGGTGAGGCTAGAATGAACCCTACTGCGATATAAGTTACCTTGAGAAGTTACCTCAAGGTAGAATCCACCTCAAGGTATAACTTCGTATTCATCAAAATTTATCTCTCAAGGTCAAGATAACCTGTGCCAGCATAATAAACACTGACGGTTTCTTAGAGAAGGGCATGGCGTACTTGCGGCGAATTGCTTTTTTCATATCTGCATGAAACTTACGCGAGGATGCTCATGTCTTTAGAGTGTGAAAGGCTACTGGTGAATTGGAGAGGATACGGTCCACATATTCAACAACTGTGGGTTCATAACTCTATCAGGGAAAATATCTGCTTCTAAGTACAATTTACAAAATCCTTTGCTGCGAGGCCTACCTGATGCCTACTTCAGCTGAATTTGAGTTGAGAAATGAACAAGACTAGAGATATGCGTTACACGAACGTCAACACTGGCTTTTCTTAAAGGCAGTGTCCGGGCAAAAAGTCGATTTTGAGATTTTATGCTTATACGGGCCTATTCGCCATGCTGAATTCAAAAATCTACACTGGAAGGCGCGAAGACGGCGAAAAATGGCTTTAGCACAGGAGGGAAACAGCACGTGGGCGGGGTCCATTCTGCTAGCCGTCCTGACATCGCCACTTTCCAAGTGCGAACGATTGACCTGAAACCGGAATATCAAGAAGATCCCTCCGGAAGCTGGGAGCGTGAATTCACACTGGGGAAGACCCCGCCCACTCTGTTTCCCTCCTGTGCTAGAGCCATTTTTCGCCGTTTTCGCGCTTTCCAGTGTGGATTTTTGGATTCAGCATGGCGAATAAGCCCGTATAAGTATAAAATCTCAAAATCGAGTTTTTGCCCGGACACTGCCTTTAAAAACAGAACTTGCAAAGCGATTGTTTTTGGGTTATGCAATTTTCACTTGTAGTTTCGTTATGCTATACTCAAAATACTATTTGTTAGGGCCTGTGATGCTCAAAATCCTGTTGGAGCAAATAAAGGATGTGTTTGACTTTCCCTGGTTCAGTATATCAGTTTCACAGGAGTTCTAAAACACTCACAACATATGCTTAGGATGAAAGAGAAGTGTAGTACTAATCTCTTTACATGCCTATAAGTCTAGCTAATCTCAACGAAATTAGACAAAATTGCTTTAATGAGTTCAGTTTTGTCACTTCGGTGTTCTTGTGAAAAAACACCCTCTAAAACCTTGTAGATTTTTAAAGGTACACTCCTAACCTTGCCTTTTGCTAGGGTAAAATCTTTTATTGTAAATGTACCTTGAGGTAAAGGCTTCAAGTTTGATGAATGCGGATTTATCGCTGATAAGGATGATATCTTGAGGTAGAATTCACCTCAAGGTATCATCCGTTCCACACGGAATCATTTTCAAGGTTAATCTAACCTTGAGCATTTACCTCAAGGTACAGTGATGAATACGGGATTTGAGTGGTAATCCTACCTCAAGGTTCATTTTACCTCAAGGTAGCAATGATGAATACGGCCACTGTAGGATTTCGGGCGAAGATCCGATTTCTAAACTGGCCAAATGCTCACAGATTTTGGCATCAAACCGTACGGAGACCAAATGTTTAGGTTGATTATTCGTAATCATTTTGTAGAGCTTGCTTCCATCTATCGAATGGTACCTTATTCGTATATTTGTAAATCACATGCTGTGGTAGCGAATGCTACGGACATTATTTTTTGCATCAACCTAATATAATGGAAGTGTAGTCTAGAAGGACAATAACGACCTCTGTATATCAACATGAGTGGACAATATTTGAAGAAGTTTAGATGACACCAGATTAGATTTACAGTGCCTATTAGGTGCTTTGCCTGAGCCTGCGTACTTTTGTGTGAAAAGTACCGTGATTTTACGACTGAACATGCACGAAAATTTGGCATAAGAAAAGCTCAAAACTTTTTTTTAGAAGAAGGCTTCGCAGATATAGAAGGTATACCTGCTGCGTTCAAATATCTATCCATGGATATACATCATCTTTCGAATTACCACTTTAACCATGCGAATTTCCGTTGTCAGTATCTATTAATTCAAACTATATCATTAGAAAAGAATTCTTCCGAAAATGGTGCGAACGAACCAAATCTTGATATTGAGCTTATCAATTCAGGCTTGATCAAACCTAATCGCAGGCGCCGCACCTTGAACAGCATAGTTGAGCGGTTTTCGGGAGGCGCCATAGGCTGTTTCATTCGCTCATGAAATTTGTGGTCAACATTCATGTCGTTTCTAGTCTTTGAAAGTTTATAAAAATACGAGTGAAGAAGGTGCGCACTCAGTAAATAGCCTATAACGCTTCGTGACCTCATGTCTCCAGCGCTTCGCAGGTTGGTGTTCACAGCTCTGGGAAATAGATTTTACATGTCCTATATCTTTCATCCGATTCTAACCTTGCACATACATTTTGAATTCTTGAAAATTCAGATCCCTGCTCAATTTGTTTCACCGTAGACTTTTGTAAACGGATGTAATGAACCTCTTTCTCCGCTCCAGTATTGGCCAAGTGAAATGGTCATTTGCAAACATGGTGAACTATTTTTCAGAATTGTGGTAGCTACCTCTTTTTGTACTCATTAGAAGCGCTACTCCTTATTTGCCCATACTATAAATTCTGTTTCAAATAACCATCAAACTCCGAAACTGGGAGCCAGCAAAATCTCATTTGTCCCATTTTTCGCTTATAGTGGTTGTGCTTCCAGCAATCAAATGATTGAAGACGAATCCAGCTCTAATCACTTGTACAGAAACTACGGGGTTTTGACTATCAAACTGTATATACTTTGTTCGCTAAAATTCTTTTTGGAGGTAAGTCAATGGGTCAACCCCAGGAAAGCTGTCGTTGCCATAACTTTTTAGGACTCCTTTACACAGGAGAAATTTGAATCAAAATCGTTTCAGTTAGAAAGACATATTCGCTTTGCCTTAACTATGCAAATGAAAAATATTGCGAAATTATTGGGTTATGGTAACACACTAAGTCTGCAGTACACGTAACTCGCGAGTGGGGGCGGCAAAAATAAATAACCTGATTGATTTGGGCCGATTGGTCTTCTCTAGCTTGAGATATTGAAAGCGGAACAAATGAATATTTGGCTCGCTCTTAATTCCATAATTTGAAGGTTATAAGTGGGATTCCCAATGTGAGCGAAAGATAGTAATTCATTGTATTAAATGCAAAAAGAAGTGAATTCACCTTTGAAACAAAGTTAACATGTTCGAAAATGCGCTGGGACCATAAGGCTGTCGTGGATGTGATGACATTCCCTTCATCTATTGCTGCGCAGATATCTATCTTTGTAGGCTCACTTGTTTTACTGCAGTGATGCCGCTCAAAGTCCAAAGTTACTTGAAGTGATGAGCTTTGATTTTAAGCGCATATAAAACGACATATGACATTGCTCATCTATAGACCTCGATCAGAATTTTTTATGCACTAACATCGCCGGAACCTGGACTTCGATTAAGCTACCTGTTTGAGAAAACTGAATTTTTTTCTAAGTGCTTCATTACTTTTGAATTACCCTAGTATACTAGAAAACTAACCTGCAGTTTCGCAGAGCACATCTTAGTAAGGCTGGGCAGATTATAGAACTGAAATTGTGTGATGCCCAATTTTTTTTCGCAAATTGGAGTCTCACCTCAGCTTCTCTTTGAAGGCATTTCAAAGAGTTGTCGTCGTCAGGGAGAACGACGTACTCTCCATCTCTCAAGTAGTCAAGCACCTCAAACAACAATGCTACAGCTTTCAAATAACAAAAAAAACCTAGAGCACATATGCAAAATAGGTTGGATTCCTGTCAATGAACAGCTCATCTTGTCCTTTCCAACGATCAGCAACCATAGAGAAGAGCATCTTAGAGTTTGCATTAGCAAGACGATTCAAAAAGAAAACTATTTTTACTTACGCAATTTTCGAATTTTTTAAGAGTGGAGAGTGAAGTTTCGAACATAGTACCACCAACATTGATTTTCACCCGCCCTCCCTTGAATTGACTTTCAGCCTAAAAACTAAGGATGAGAGAAACAACGCAAGAACGTGCTGGGATTAGGAACAACAAGGTTGAAGAAAATTTCAAGCAAAAATAGAATGTCTGGATAAATAGCAAATTCACTCTACTGTACAATCAGCGCCCAAGACGAACTCTTGTTTTTTCAATACCTTTCTTTAGAATTCCTATCTTTCAAAGTAGACCTTTTTTGCACAAAAGACTTTGACAAATCTGCTTCTTCAGCCATAATCAGGCTTTTCATTAGGTTGTCTCAAAAACAGAAAGCTTTTCTAAATATTGAACTGCTTTTTCCTAGCAGACTACGAATCATGCGATAGAGCGGAGTAAGGCTCTACAAAATGACCACCAAAGCAAAAACAATAGTATAAAAAGCCCCCCCCCCTACAGCTCCTCCCATACTTATTGTATACTACAAGCTTTAGTAAATATAACCCTAAGTCATGCCCTCTGTATGTGTCCTGATAAACAAGAAATACCGAGTTTGACATAAAAAACCGTGACATTTTTGCATTTCCTGGCTATTTTTATTTCTTAATTTTGGACCCAGAAAAAATTCTGCAATTACATCTTTGATTATTATGTGTCTTAAGTATGATGACGAAGTTGAAGGTCCGTAGTAATATTCTGGAAAGAGATCCGATAGTAGTAGTATTTGAAGTAGGAAAAAATTTCAATTTTGCTCCATATCTTACCCGAATAAGGGGTCGAATGGCGTAGCTGTATGAGGCGCCGCTTTAACCAGAACGGATTCAAGTCCGATTCCGCCCTGGACTAACCAAGCCCTCTATCATTCGGGGCCGGAAAATTGGTACCAGAGTAATCTGGGAGGATAAAAGCACTGACTCCGTAATCAGCTGGCCCCACAAGTCACTGTAAAGGCTGGCACGCATTCAAACCTTTCCGACTATGAAGTGGAGTGCGTTCGGTGCATGCTTGCAGAGAGGGTATTGACGCCGAATCCTTTATCCTTTATTCTACAGTGCTAGACATAATTATAGAAACACTCTAGAAATCGTCGTAATTTTCGTTCTTGTCAGTGAATCTGTCTGAAACTTTGCTGTATGGTGCGCATGTAAGCCTACCATCATCTACTATAATAATTCGCAGCCCCCCCCCATCAGGTGTAAACATGTGGCTATGTCCGGCGATGACGTCACCAGTGACATCGTCACTGCCGGTGAGCATGTTTACAACCCCTTAAGGTCCAGAGAGCACCAGACAGTTCTGGAACTTTCTTTGAAAGGTCAATTTCACAAAAAAGTCGAAAGCAAAAGAAATCGTCGCAATTCAATCCATTGAACGATTCACTACTGCCGGCTGGCATATTTACAACCCCTTAGGGTTCAGAGAGCACCAGACAGTTCTGGAACTTTCTTTGAAAGGTCAATTTCACAAAAAAGTCAAAAACAAAAGAACTCAGACGTCGCAAAGCCAAATAAGCAACCTTTTGCCTCCAAAACTGTGCATCACATAGACACCACCTTGCATTACGTATGCCTCGGTCGCCTTTCATGTTAGGTTCACTTCACTCATCAACCGTACCCAAAGTCAAAGTGGTATTCATCCCAACACTCCCTATCCACCATTACTGTTGCATCTTTTGAAGTCTATCCCAAATCTCTTCCTGTCCCAATGGTTGCTCTATCACTTCTATTATCATCGAGTTTACATTCTGAAAGTTCTTCCCTCCATGCTTATTGGTAGCTTTGAACGCTAGATACGCGGAAATCGGTCTTTTTCTCTCTCCCTCTATGAGTTTTCTCTTCTTTGCGCTTAATTCATTGCTCCAGCAGTGTCTTCATGTCAAAAAAAATGGTAAAACAATTTAGGGGATCAATAGCTATCTCAAGAACTGCTGGCTTTGCTTTCAAGCCTTCTTCGTTCTTATATCGTTACCTTCAAACATTGTTTCCAAGTCAAATTCGTTGTTGCACAGAAATGCAGAAATTGTTTTGATCTTCTAAAATCTATCGACCTTGCTGCACTCTGAGATCTGTTTAGTTTCCATCATTGTCTCAACTCTAAACACTGTTTCCGTGTCAAAAGCGTTGCATAAGACTATATCGTAACCTAACAAATCGCTGCATTCTAACTTTTTCTCCAGTCTTAATTTTAGCACTGTAAGATGCACTTTCATCTATCACAAAAAATTAAAAACGCTATAGAGTTGCCTATTTCAACGAGTTTCGTTCGTTCAACAATCTAATCCATATATGAACGATTCACTACTGCCGGTGAGCATGTTCACCAGACAGCTCTGGAACTTTCTTTGAAAAGTCAATTTCACAAAAAAGTCAGAAACAAAAGAATTCGTCGCAATTCAGTCCATATAAGAACGATTCACTACTGCAGGGGGCAAGCCACCCCTTAGGGTTCAGAGAGCACTAGCCAGTTCTGGAACTTTCTTTGAAAGGTCAATTTCACAAAAAAGTCGAAAACAAAAGAATTCAGACGTCCAAAGCCAAATAAGTAACCTTTTGCCTCAAAAACTGCATCACATAGACACCACCTTGCATTACGTATGCTTCGGTCGCCATTCATGTCAGTTTCACTTCACTCATCAACCGTACTCATTGCTTCAGAGCATCATGAGATAGTCTACGGAGAAACTGAGTGATGATCATCGGTACGTTTTTATATATGAATTTGAGCAAACATCTCTTTGACGGCTGCATATGCTTTTTTAAATGCATAAACCATAAGCTTTATAGAAATTTGTGTCAAAACAGTAGATCAAACCATCAACATTAGTAGATGAAATCATAGTTTTGTTTGACGAAAAAACTCGGCCTATGATTATCAGCAAACATTTTCTGGATATGTGTCTAATCATTCGAGAATTTGCTATGTAAAAAAAACTTGAGAGCAATTTAAGAAACAAGGATATCTCTATCATCTCTGTAGCAGAGTCCCATAATTTCTGGATAACTTTTGTTGCTTGCGCAGTTAGCCATTGTATGCTGGATTTCATTGAACGTCTGTCAAAAACTCCTAGTTTGTGTTCATTTCCGGACTATCTGTACACAGCATTTTGTCTAGCCAAGAGATTTATACGAAGCACGATGAAAAATTTTGAATGTGTTGTAAGAATTTTTGCTTCGCGGTATCGCAGTATGGGTATTTTACCTATGCTCAATAAAGGCATATAGGAATCTGATATGGATTCGCAGACTACGCAGATGCCTTCTGGCATCGGTGAAACGCAGAAGGAACTCGCGAGCAGTTCTCGAAGAAAGGCTACGCGTGTTACTTCAAGAAAATCGGAAACCGAAGACGAACGCGATGCAAGACTTGCTGCAGAAGCACGAGTTGCTCTCAAAAGATCTAACGAGACGCAAGATGAGCGCAAGCAACGTCTTGCAGCAATGGCAGAAAGGGATAGATTGAAAAGAATGAGTGAAAGCGAACAGAACAGAAGAGAACGCCTTGCAGTGAAGGCTGAAAGAGCAAGGACGCTGAGAGCCAAAGCAAAAGAAAGAAAAAAATCGGTGGGAACGCAGGATGAGTTAGGCGAAGTCCAGAAACGATCGAGACTTCAGGACAGTGTGAAGGGCACACCAATGTCATCTGCAACCACAGCTCATCAGGATGAAAGTGAAGAAGTGGTGAGCTTGAATTTTGATGGTTTTCTGTTTAAATGTCACTTTTTATCAGGAGAACTATTTGGTCCCTTCCTGCTCTCATGATCTACCCAGTACAAGTTCAAAAGAATTTAATGAGGTGTGCGATCAGCTGATTCGGGTTTGGCAACATTTCATCAAAGATTTCAAGGTTTCCTCGCAACATTGCAACGAAGATGGAAGGAACACTTTAATGTTATATGAGAGTGACCGGAATCCGCGTGAAGCTACGGTTCGCTTGCATTACGATTTGTTTTTCCTCCGCATGGCCACAGTTTTCAGACCAGCTCATCTCAGTGCCTTGGACCGCGTAAACGCACCAGAACTCTTCCCAATCTCGGCATAGCCCTAACAACCAGTTATGTGGAGGAAAACTACTTAGGTTTATTAAGTGTCAGTTGTAACTACTGTGGGACTCTGTATTTTCCAAACGAAGCTGCACCTGTGAATGGAAGTTTCAACCTTTGTTGCAACTTCGGCAACATATCTTTAGACATTTTCAAGGATTTTCCCGAGCTTTTTCGCACTTTTTACACGGGAACCACCAACCTTTGCAAGAACTTCCGCGATCATATTCGCTCATATAACAGCGCTCTCGCCATGGCTTCGATGGGGGCTCAAGTGGATACACCCCGTGGCTACGGCCCGTATTGCTTTAGAATTCATGGTCAGGTGTATCACTTCGTCGGTCCTATTACACCAGAAGAAGGGATGCCTCGGCAGTACGGGCAGCTCTATATATTGGACACAGAGGCGGCAGCAGCTGAGAGAAGTGGGAACCCTGCAAACGAGCACTGTGATGCCAGTGTCATGCAGCAGTTATCGTCATGGCTGCATTCTCACAATATCTACGCAGCTTCGCTAAAGATGATGGGTGACGTTGTTGCAGAAGAGGAGAGACGAGCACAACGGGAAAGCAGACAGCTCCCAACAATCTGTATGGTCTTTGATGATGCTCAGACTCTTGATCGCCGCCGTTACAATGTTCCCGCCACTAACGAGATAGCTGTTGTCTATGTGGGGGAAAACAACGACGTTCCAGCGACACGTTCTCTCGCTATTCATCATCGAAGGATCGGTCTGCAAGTGATTTCAGACATCGATGGCCCGATCCGCTAACTTATCCTCTACTTTTTTTCCAGAGGCGGACTCTGTTGGCATATCCATTTGAAAAAGAGACCCAGTAACCGCAGTCGCACTAGAATTACTCAGCGAGAGTTTTACTCTAATCTCCTGGCCGTGCGCAGATCGTTCAATCCGCTCCATTACGCCGGCAAACTTTTGCAGCAATTTGTAGTTGACGCGTATGTCAAAATTGAACAAAATCGACTAAATTATACGCGCACGCATCAAAAGGAGCTGCGGGTAGATAGTTATCGAGGGCTCATGGACCATTTGGCCAGTGACAGCGCAGATGGGCCTCCTGGGCAACGTATAATCTTGCCTTCATCGTTTCGCGCTATTCCGCGAGCCATGCATCAGTCATATCATGATGCAATGTCCATAGTTGCCAAGTATGGGAAGCCGGATTATTTTTTAACTTTTACTTGCAATCCCCATTGGAAAGAGATAAGCGAGAACCTCTACAATGGACAGTCCTCTTCAGATCGGCCCGACTTGGTAGCGCGCGTATTTAATCGAAAGCTAGAAGTTCTACAAGAGTGTCTTTTCGAGAAAAAAGTATTAGGCTCTGTTGCTGCCCACGTTGGCGTAGTAGAATGGCAGAAGCGAGGGCTTCCCGCGCTTTAGGTTTTTTGCACGATGACGCACATTATGTCAGTTGCCTAGAGGAAGTTGCTCACTTCCAAATGCCTGCCGAACTTTGGGCAACATTCTCCTACTTGCTGGCGTTTTGTACAATTTCCGATCCACGTCAGCTCTATGAACGCTTCAAAGTTGAAATGGCAGAGGACTTTATCCACAGAGGCTGCAGTGAAGCTGACGCCGAAGCGTCAGCATACTTTGACTTATACGACGGCTAGAGGTTCTGTGCTATGACTTAGCTGTCAGTATAAAACCGCCTTCACAGACTCGACCGATCTTGGCTGACTTGACTGATTATGTATATCATGAGCAGAAGGGGTTGCAAATGTATGAGTGTCTTAACATGCAACAAAGGTTGACTGCAGACAGTATTTTAGCGTCATTCGGTCTTGGACGACCTTTGCATTACATTTACATTTGCAACCCCTTCTGCTCATGATATACATAGTCAGTCAAGTGCATTTCGTCGATGGTCCTGGAGGTAGTGGAAAGACCTATTTGTATAATGCCATATACCACATGTTAAAAGGGCAGCACAAATCCATTATCTGCGTAGCTTGGACGGGAATCGCAGCTAGTTTATTACCTGAGGGAAGAACGGCCAGCTCCAGGTTCAAATTAAATATGCATGAGGGCAATCGTAACTCCACTATGCGTCGAGACTCCAAAGAGGCCTTCCACTCAAGAAAGCAGACATCATTATCTGGGACGAAATTAGCATGGTCCCGAAGTTTTGGCTTGAAGCAGTTAATGTTCTATTCCAAGATCTAATGTGCAACAGCGAGCTCTTCGGAGGAAAGACTATTGTATTAGGGGGAGATTTTCGACAGGTATTGCCTATCATAGTACGAGGACAGGAGTCGGATATGATCGACGCTTGCGTGAAAAATAGTGATCTTCGGAAGTCATTTCGCAAACACCGTCTTTCAATTAACATGCGATCGGTTGAATCTGGATCTGATTGGTGTGATTTCTTGATGACCGTTGGAAATGGAGAGGCAGACGAAGACGAAATGGGTAGAATAGAACTTCCGCGTGAAATCGTCTCTAGTGGCAATCTTATTGACGAGGTGTTTGGAGACCTCCTTACAGACTTTGAAACATTAAGCGAACGTGCGATACTGGCGCCGAGAAACCTTGAGGCATATAGAATTAATGAAGAAGCGTTAGACAAACTTCCAGGCCAACTGCGCGAATACATAAGTGCTGATGATGTGATGAGTGATGAGGTGGAAACAAACCAATATAGCACTGAATTTTTGAATAGCCTAGCTCCAGCTGGACTACCTCCACACAAGCTTAGATTGAAAGAAGGGTCGATAATTATGCTTCTGCGGAATTTAGACGTTCGGAATGGTCTTTGCAATGGTACTAGATTGATAGTCGCGCATTGCGGCCATTTCGTTCTAGGTTGCAGGTTTGCATCAGGTGATCGAAAGGGAGATTTCGTGCCAATCCCACGCATAGATAATTATACTGGCAAAGGGTTCCATTTCGATTGCGAAGGAGACAGTTCCCTGTCCGTTTGTCGTTTGCAATGACAATAAATAAAGCGCAAGGGCAGAGTTTGACGAACGTGGGTATTTTTCTCGATACGGAGGTGTTCTCGCATGGACAACTTTATGTGGCTTTATCGCGAGCTCGAAGAAAACAAGGTCTCAAAGTGCAGAAGGCACAGAAACGGGTGAAAAATGTGGTCATCAAGGCAGTTCTCAAGTTGTAGCCATGAATTAAGTATCTAACAGACTACCACCAATTATCCACATATTGAAATCCTCAACAATCTTGACGATCTTGATAGCTTTGTTTTGTTTTCTTACGTGTCACAACCAAAATTTGTTGAAATTAGCGCTACTCGCATATCACCATACATTCATCTATCTTACGTCATTACCTATATATCATACTACTCATGTGCTGAATACATTATAGTTAGTTAATAACTATTAACCTTGCATATGCATATACTCATCGATCTCACTCTTATCTTCAAATGTTACGAGTTACGTATCATGTACTCCATTCCGTTACTAGGCACTGAATTTGCATAGTCTAGCGATAGTCGATTATTCATGAATTTTGCTTTGATTGTGTTGTAAACTCCAAGGTATTTTTACTTGAGCGATTGTGCAAATTTTGCAAAAGAGAGTGGTCCTATAGTTCACAAAGTAGATCAAACTACAGATTTTGACTCCAAAGTTGCTGCTTTAGTAATAGTGAATCGATTCACGGGTGTAACCTCTAAGAAAAAACCTCATTTCTCAAAAACTTTGCCGGTCAGGTTATTCTATATCAAATTAGCATGAACCGTACATATGTCGTCGTACATTGTCTGAATAATGCTGGATAAGCTGAAATTTGGAATACATAGCTGAAAGCGCCAGGATGATAGCTTATGAATTGTACATCTTATCCACTTACAAGACCAAAGCGCCGCTACGCGGCGCTTTGGTCTTGTAAAATCATAAATCATCAGAACGGCTTCCAATCCCGTTGATTTCGAACGGAGAAAATGGAAAAATTCGAAAAATCCTGTTTTGCAAGCTGGACATAATTATAAGGACACCTGGTCTTTTCAAACATTACCGCATTCCTCGTCCCAAACTTTTTTGTAGAGTTACATGAAACTTTTGCAACACCTAGGACCTGTCATGCTACTCAAGGAAAGATGATCCTTGCATTTAACGTTTCCAAAGGCATCAGAAGTCAAACTGCGTCAACAAACAGCTGGTTTGAGGAGTTTTCAAGCCCGCGTTTATTTCAAATGACAGTCCTGCAATACACTTAGCCTTTTTGATAGATAAGGTGAAGAGCGCTTTCGTAAACTCCGCGTAATTGCTGATATTGACAATCAGACTCCAACCTCACCAAAGGGTTGTCGCGCTTTTGCACCACAAAACTCGATTCTCAAGTTACAGAAAACGCTGCAATGTAGCCGCAACAATACACGTACAACAATAAACTTGTGTGCCTAGTCAGGAAAAAATTTCGGGGTTGCACATTCTGGTTCAGCCGCAGTTGTCATCCGCTGAGAGTTGAGTCGAGCACCCCGCACAATCATATCCAACTCAAATCAAGAAATCGAACAGGAGACCGCTTGGAACTTCAGAATCTTGCTAATCTCAGCTACCGCGCAAAATGCGACATGAAACAGAGAATAAAATAGTGAGATTTGCGATTATGTTGAATCTACTGCTCGCATAGAATTTTCGTTGAAAGTATTTCAGATCTAGATGGCAATTGCAACACTAGAAAAAACCCAAAAGTTGTTGCAAAAGATGCTTCATGTGGACAATGTAATAAATCGAGTCCATCACTTTACGAACATTGGAAAGTGAGTTTTGTGGTGCAAAAGCGCGACAACCCTATGGTGAGGTTGGAGTCTGATTGTCAATATCAGCGATTACGCGAAGTTTACGAAAGCGCTCTTCACCTTATCTATCAAAAAGGCTATGTGTATTCCAGGACTGTCATTTGAAATAAACGCGGGCTTGAAAACTCCTCAAACCAGCTGTTTGTTGACGCAGTTTGACTGATGCCTTTGGAAACGATAAATGCAAGGATCATCTTTCCTTGAGTAGCATGACAGGTCCTAGGTGCTGCAAAAGTTTTAAATTCTGGGATGTAACTCTACAAAAAAATTTGGGACAAGGAATGCGATAATGTTCAAAAATGCCAGGTGTCCTTATAATTATGTCCAGCTTGCAAAACAGGATTTTTCGAATTTTTCCATTTTCTCCGTTCGAAATCAACGGGATTGGAAGCCGTTTTGATGATTTATGATTTTATGGTAGGCTTACATGCGCACCATACAGCAAAGTTTCAGACAGATTCACTGACAAGAACGAAAATTACGACGAATTCTAGAGTATAATTATGTCCAGCACTGTATATCTTATCCGAATCACCACTTCGATGGATCTTTGGGAGATTTTGTAAAGCTTGCTTCGTTCTATGGAACTTTACCCTAAGTCTGCTAGGAAATCAAAAGCAGCTTGTACCTAAAGGCAGTGTCCGCGCAAGATGGGGGTTTGTTGCTGGGATTTCAGTGCCATGCGAGAGTGGACCCCCTCACACACAACATCACGCAAGTGCGACATCATAACGCTCGACCTAAACAAGGAAAACGACTGGAAAGCGGGAAAGCTTACGCCTTGGGGTGATCCTAAGAGCTGTCCGAATTCCTGCTATGCGGCAGAGTACGCATGCCGCCACAGTCAAAATGTAGGGTCCCGCAGCAAGTCTTCTGCCTTGGTGGGAACCGTCGAATTTCAAATTGCGGCTTTGCAAAACGTATGTTCTCGCCGTTTTCGCGCTGTCTAATGTGGATTCTCGGACTCACAGCGGTAACCCCCGGTAAGTGGACTTTTTAGAAGTCGAGTTTTTGCTTGGACACTGCCTTTAAAAAAGGCGCTTACGTTCGGAACAACTCCTGACAGAATTACGAGAGACTTAGTTTATTAGCGAAAAATAAGGTTTCAATAACAATCTTAAAATGGTTTACATGCTTAATTAGTCTAGTCGCTGAACTAAATTGTTTGGAAGAACTCACCATCCTGCTAGCAGGCGAGGCTTATGACAGGGAATGACCGATAATGGTGTTATCATTTTAGCATAAAGCAAAAACTTTGGTTGGCTTGACACATACGGAAAACGTTGTCGCTGCACTCCAAGATTGGAAGTGTTTTTTCTTTTGAAAAATATATATCATGGAAGTCATAAGCTCCGTTTTTCTTGATAGACAAGGTGGAAGGCGCTGGGATAAAATTTGGATAACTGGAGACCGAGAAAGTGTTTCAACCTTACATAAGTCATATTCTAAGTCTGGAAGGTTCTTTTATAAGCCGAATACGTGAGTCAGACAACGCTCTGGCTATCCTATTTCGTAAAAACCGACGTTGAGGGAAGAAGCAGTAAGATTTGTGGTTAGGACATACCTAACAAACCTCCTTCGAAGTTTGAACGATTATATTGCATGCAATGTAAATAATTTTAACAAAAACCTTTAGGGCATCAAGAACCGGTTTTGTGGAGTAAAAGTAGCATGTTTTCCTCATAGTAAAGTGAAGACTCTTTTGGCAATATGAGCGATTGCTCAAATTTCATCTTACTGCCTTTTACCGTATCTATAAACATGGCTTAGGGTTTCGTGATTTGCTGAAATGAACAATGTTTTGAAAGCTGTATCAGTTGTTTTTTTGAGGAATATCGACTCTCGACGCATTACAAACCAAAACTTACAGCAATCTTGTTTGCAAAAGGCGAACGGTCCCACTTACGGTCGATGCTCCTTACTTTGAGATGTAGTGAGAAAAAATCTCAGAAAATGCAACAATGGCTGAATTTTGGTTCAACATAATGCAATAAGAACACAGCTCATGCAAAACTTTCTTAGAGATTGCTGATACCTTTGACACGTTGACGAAGGGGAAATTTTGGGCAAAACTCTTTAAAGTTTCTAGCGCATTTGGCGGGTGCATACGAGTGTATGCACGAAATCATATGGGAGTCTTCTTAACGCCTATTCATAAAACATGCGAACTTTTCAAAGATAAACATGTATCTCACAATGATTTACCAGGAAATTACACACATGATTTTTGCATCACTTTCCCCTCCATCAAACCATGCAGCGGCTATCTCTGAGGAATCTCCCTTTGCGAACCTAATCGAGTGTTTTTTGCCTGAGTTCATTGTTTATTACTCTCAGAACAGCTATACAGAGTTTATGCTTTTTCAGAAAAACTAAAATTGCACATTTACTATATCAAAAATGGACTGAATACCTAAGTTTGCTCTGAATAGCTAGCGCGATGCCCTATGCTCTGTATGTCATTCAGGCCACTGGCATGATAAGGTATAATAGCAACCTTAACCCATTGACGACGATGTGGGCCACCGTTGGCCCACCCTTGCAAAATCATATCCTTTCCTGGTCTAGTATTTTTTCCACAATTCAGTTTTTTTTTCCAATTTTTGCACTATTGGAGTCTCTAGACCTCTGTAGACCTTCGTCCAAGAACATGGTTATAGTTGTTTACAGAACAACTTTACATTTCGTAGATAGTCACAAAAATTTCCCACACCTAAAGTGTTGTGCAAAATCGTGTCGTCCCACAGCGCCCCACGCAAAATTAGGCTTTGTCGTCAATGGGCTAAAACTTCTCGTTATTCCAGAAAAATTGGCGTGCATATGCGGGTATGCATACGGTTGTCAACGTGTTAAATAGGGCACTGCTTCACAATTTGGCCTATGTTTATGTCTTGCTCAGTTTCTGCACTAGCTAAATTTAAACTTTGCATATGGTTTGTAACTAATCAGTAGAAACTGGGTCTAGACCTGGCTTCTCCAGCCTACCGTATATCTTTTCAATTTTGTGAAATGAGACTGAATATTAAGTTTTTTTCTAGTTAATGACTGCATTATGAAAAGACTATAAAACCATCGCGCTATTACTGCTAAACCATAAGAAAATATGTGGAGCTTTTTGATGTTCCATATTTCATACTTTAGTATATTTCAACATTTCGTTGAAAAGGAAGAGTTTTAAAAAGTAGTAGCACAGAAATGCTTTAAAAATGCAAGGAAAATTAATATTCCGTTTTCGTGGCAATTTGATAATTGTATGAGTTATATTTATATTCTCAAGCGTCATTGCTTCAATTCCACGAAATAAAAGAAATCGGTGTTTGACATGCTAGCGAAACCGAGATAATGTCCCTTCAAAATTGAAAAAACACTTGCTATCACAACAACAGAAGGGGATGTCAGCTTTAGATATGGGGCAACTCAACTATGTAAAAGTATTTTTTTTAAACATTTAAGTGTTAATGTCAGCATTCAGTAAAAGTTCGCAGATGATGCTGCATTCGATCACGCATTGTCTGTGATCTTCTTTGGTCTATGGTAGATGTTTGGAATTGAAAAACGGTGCGGCGTAACAGTAATTTTTATTATATTGACTTTTATTAAGGTCACTTATACCAAAGATGTTGGTCCTCAAACTGTGAAAATCATTTGAGTTTATCTTCCAATTGTTGTACGACATTCGCTTTGTGCGATAATACCGCACTTTCAATAAATTCTAAGGTTGAATTTTCGAGTCACCAAACCTTTTTGTTGTAAAGTAATAACGAAATTAGATGAGCCGAGAGTCAGTTGTTCATAAAAGGAATCACGGAATGTCGGATTATGGAAGACGATTCAGTAGACGATGATCATTGTGTCAATATGAAATGTGCAACGTTCTGTAGAGAGAAAATGAAAACGAGAATTACCTTTTTGGTAAACGCAGTGCAGATTTCGGAAGATGTGTTTCCGGATTACGGCCCCATTTTACAGGGCAGCAGGCGCTGTCAGGCCCCAATGATTTGGGATTACTTGAAAATTAACCATATCAAAATCGATGTGAGTCGCCTACACGACATATCTTTTGATGACTTCCGTATGACGCTTTAGAGGCAACTCCGTAAAATTCATCAGCGTATTCAGCACTCCAGTCATCACCATGCCACTTGCTTCTGTTGTTGGTCCCACGAATCCGTATACGATGAATACACGAGCTATGTAATTGGACTGTCTTCTTCAGTAATGTTAAAATTTGCAAGAGTTTTTCTTTTACGATATGCAGCTCAGAATTATTCCGAAGTCTGTATCAAATAACAAGTCTTTTTTATAGTGATTACGCATCCGTAGCAAGAGGATCCTGCGCGGCGATGTCGATTGATGAGACCACTCTGAATGCCCAGGCCACGCGTAGTGTGGCAAAGACTCTGCCGCAGAATACTAAAAGGCGGTCCCGCCAAGAAAGGGACCTCAGGTTTGAAACAGGATGCACATGGCGTCACAATGGCTTGCACAAGCAAATTGCCATCATTCAGACGTGGCTGTTATTTTTCAAATTTTCGCAGAATTTCATCGCAGATGTTATAATTACACGCTGCGGTATGATGGAGGCGCAATAACTTTGGGCGCGAATGCAGCTTTATTAGCCGCAGAGCGCATGAGGCGCAGGGTTTACAACGATGCGAATGCCGCGCGACGCGTTCGCATCCGCTCAACTAATACTACTTCTGCGCCTTAGTCATGCAGCAGCCTTAACCTTCACGTTTACTCGACTGTAAAATACTCCACTCGTCATCTTGTTTTGCAAAATCTTTGGTCACTAACTTCTTCGGTAACTGGGTGGAGAATCGTCCACTATAGTTGGAACGACCGAAAAATTTTGTTAAACGAATGAATTTCGAATAATCGGCTTTTGAAAAATATTCGAACGAACGAATATTATTCGATCTGTAATTTCCAGATTATTCTAATTCGAATATTCGAATAAGGCTACATTTCAAAATTCGAATGAACGAGTGTTCGAATAAATGGGGTATTCGACTATTCGAATAATCGAATAATTACATATGGTCGAATATTCGACTATTCGAATATTCGATTAATCATACCTGTCCGAATATTCGACTATTCGAACAAATCGAATAATTTAGCGCCTCAAACAATGCTGGTTTTTTTCTTTGTTGCAGTTTTCTGCAAAAAAAATTATAGCTACCCTAATTTCACGCGTATAAGGCGCACTTTTTTCGATTTTTCATACAAGCCGCTCAACCGCTTCAACCTGTTTCAGAAAGCAAACCTTAAACTGTTCAATTCTCTCAGGCAATACGGAGCCCGATATAGGGTTCTTTGGTCGCGAAGTGTGGTGGCGGGTTTGAGCTGGCGGATTTTAGAAAAAAAAATCCCCCGCGCCTTGTGCACGTGAAATTAGGATATATTTAATCAATTTGTAGCTGATAACTATATGCGTAGCAAGTGGTAAGGATGACTGGGTCATTGTCGCTTAGTCAGGGTTCCACCCTAGGAAACAGAAGAATTTTACTCAAACATGTAGTTCTAAGATGTTCATAGTCTTTTGAGGTGGCTACTGAGCCTTACTTAATAACCATTTCAGTTTCGCATTTATTCTTCCTCACAGGAGTTCCTCCTGAAGCTAAAGAAAAAACATGGAAAATCTTTTAGAATAGGTATGTAGTTGTTTGTAATATTCGTGACGGTCATTGCATGAGTTCTGGGACTAGCACTGGGAGAGCACGAGGAAGGCCTACAGTAAAGGATCAGTGAACCTCTGCAGCAGAGGGACGCATGTTGTCTACATAGTACTTTTGTGCGCATCTAAATCCAGAAAAGAGGTCTTGGAAACATCTGCATATTAGCTGCTAATCTAGTATTTGTCGGAAATTATCAATCGCTGAGTTCACAGTTTCTATTGTAGGATTGAATTTTTACAAAGTTGTTTTGGTTATATTTTTGAGGTTTGAACTTTTGTTGTAAGGAATCTTCCATATTTTTTACTCAGGTTCAAAATAATTATGGTTCAACCTACACGCCTACTCGAAGTATTATATTATTCCTCTACGAACTTTGCAACATTCTAATAGTTTTTTAAGCCTCCTGATTATAGACGCAGCCGACTTGAGTATGGTGACTGACATACAGGCTGCGCACAAGTCAAGCAGCTCAGGTCCTTACGATCGCCTTGCTCTGGCCTTGCGCTAGTTAAAGGCAGTGTCCCGGCAGATTT